GAAATCAGAAAGTATTGTTTGGCACACAGCTTTGCTCTAACACCCAGATTTTGAGGTGATAAACCTACTAAAATTACAAACAACTAAGTAGTGCAAGGTGCTACCAGAAAAACATTGCTGGTCTGATGGAACCAAACCTGAGGGTGCCCATCTAGATATAAACTCAGCAGATGCTATGAGGAAGGTTGACACTTGCAGGAAAGAGATTCATGATTATTATTCCCTCGATCCCCTCATGTTTTGCATTGTATTGGTATTGTTCTGTCACATGTTCTGTCCCCCTTTGTAATGTACAGCGCTGAGCGAACTATTGGCGCTTTATAAATACTGTATAATAATAATTAATTAATTATTATTATGAGCAATCATAAGCTGGTAAAACATCCAAACGAAATAGATGCCAACAATAAATTAACCACACATACTGTATATGACCTTCATGCTTATTCTTGGTCTCCTTTGACAGCTGAACAGCAGCATATCTGGGGTTCATTTATGAAACAAGCACAAAGGAACCTGACAAGCAAATAAATGTCATTTTTATCTCCTTATGGAACTGGCAAGAAACTCTTGGCATATCAAAAAGAGACACAGTCAACCTCTAATGAAGAAAAGAGAGCTTGGGCTTGAGAATGCATCAATCACTAGAATAAAATGTAAACAAGTATTTTCTTTTATTCACTTTTTAACCTCCTCAGCAATCACTGTTTATAGCACCGACACTGGTATTTTATCGCATTTCGGTTAACTGATGCCTCATGTCAGCTAGTTAGAGGAACATAATTCAGTAATCTATGCATGAAAACGTGATAAAATGAGTGAAGACTAAAGTATCTCAGTTTCATAGTACACAACTGACACTAGGCTGAGTCATGACCTTAAAAAATAATTGAGGCAACCTTGCTGAACAACACCCTTTCACATTCAACTGTCGTCAACAACACGAGTCTTTATAGAACTCATTCCAGTAGTCTCTCTGATAGCCTCATTTCTTCTAGATTACATTTATACATTTTACCCATTTTATAATCCATAGATTGTTCAGGAATTTGCAGAATGCTTAGGCTGTAAGATCTCCCATGTTGAAATTTTAAAAAAGACAGAGGAACAGCATAAGGTTCCAAAGAATAAGAATCTACCCAATGAATCTACTAAAATTTTAACATACAATACATATAGGTATACGTTTATCAAGCAGTGGTAAATTACCACTGCCGAGTTCACCGGCAATCTCACCGAGTCCCTGTTTATGAATCAGTGTAGATCACTTCTAATGAGAGAAGATCTACAAATGCTTTGAACACTGGAAACCGACTGCTGTTACTTTAATCTCCTGAGACATAACGAGATTACAGCAACAGGGAATCAGTGAAACACACAGGTGTCAGTTTATTAAACAGTGGTGAATTACCACAGCTGAGTTGGCGGCACTCTCACAGGAGCTCAGAGGAGACCGCTCTCTTCAGTACCTCTCACTACACATTATTGATAAAGTTAAAGTCCCCCGCCCCTACACAAATTATATATATATATGTCCTGGATCAAAGTCCAAAACAATAGCATACCCTATACAAAGATACAGAGGTGTGTATGTATATATATATATATATATATATATATATATATATATATATATATATATATATATATAGATTACAACTACATTATCCACTTTCCATGCCTGCAGGATGTTTGGACATCTACAAAAATTATCCTGCAGAAGCTCATCCCCTGTTGGAACTCTCATTTCCATTGAGAAAGGTTATGAGCACCAAGACTGAGATCATGTGGAACCCACATCACAATTCAAACTACAAGTGCTGTAGAAGGCATTTATAAACTACAGAACATTTCCCAAGGGATCTAGAGTGGGGCTAGCAACTCTTTAGTGGTGAATCAGAGTGATCTACATTGCCCTAAAACATTGACAGCAACAAATCTTTTGCTACCCACAGCACTACTAATAATATATATACACATATATATACACATATATATATACACATATACATACATTACAACACACTAGTTTTTTTATTTAATTATTATAGAAGGAGTTTAGGTATTCCTGGGAAACCACTAAACCGCAGACTGCAGAAAATGATACATCTTCTCAGGTATTGAAAACAGCACAGCAGCAATCAAGCATAATGTGAATTATTAACAGCTCCTTTTACATTTACTGGTGTGGTTTTGAATGGTCATCTTCACAGGAAGGGCAATGGCTCATGCTCAAGGCTCTAGGAAATCATTAGACAAAGGATAGAAAACCTAACACTTTAGTAAACTGTATGCGTGCCAGAACTCCCAGGCGTACCCCCTTGCTGTCTCCAAACTGGATGCCTTTGCCCATGAAGAATGGCGAATTGTACTAAGATTGAAAACTTGGGGGTTTGACTAAAACATGCTAATGCTGTGAGCCAGAATTGAAAAAAAAACACAAAAACACAACACCACAATGCAATAAGTGAGTGTTCTTTACATAAAATATAGCTATGTTTGGAGGAGGAAGAACAAGAAAACGCTTTCAAAGCAGTAGGTAATCCAATTAATTGCTACGGTATAATGGAAACTGCTGCTTTGGTTTTACTTTAAAATGGCGCTTGTTCAGCGGAGTCATCCAATGATGTAGCTGGACACAAAGCCTAAGAAACAAGAGTACCAGGTCTTACACTACCTGTTCTTCAGTAAGGAGAACAGGAAAACGTTCACTAAAAATGTGCAAAGATGTCATTATCTATATTCATTCAAGGTGTAGGAAAACAAATACTTGGCCCCATTTAAGGTTTTATCACTTCAAATGAATCACTGAATAAAATAATACACACACACACTAAATAATGACTAATGATGTTATTCACATAAACCGCTCCATGCCCTGATGTAACTTTTGCTGTCATTTGTTGCATAACCGAAACAGGACTGTATACATTTGTTGAAAAAAACACATACGATGCAGAAAAATAAAAAACCGAATTAAACATTTCTACCATACTAGAAGTCTGAATAAAATAATATCTAAATAATGACTAATGATGTTATTCACATGCTCCATGCCCTGATGTAACTGCTGTCATTTGTTGCATAATAAAACAGTTTTACAGCACATACGATGCAAAAAAATAACAAACCGAATAAACATTTCTACCATACTAGAAGTCTGGCATCACTTCCTGAGTGGCAGGTGCCTTAAAACAGACATGTGTAGTGTAGCTTTGATTTCACAGCTAAAGAATGCAAGTGTGTGAATGGGATACACTATGGCAGAATTCAAACTAAACAATCTGACTATAAAATGTACACTTATCTGTAAATAAAATGCTAGGTAATTAAAGCAGACCTTCACCTGAAATGACAGTCAGCATTATTCTCTCCAATTACCCCCTCAATTACAATGATTTTTTTTCAGGAAGCAAGTAGCTATACCCAAGATACTTTGCCAAAGCTTTTTTTTTTTTTTTTTTTTTATAGGCCATACCTAGTATGCCCATGGCTTATGGCTGGTTATAGATCACTGCAGCAGCACAGCAGTTCAGGTAGGATCCCGGATGCGAATTTTGGATCAGGGCCACCCAAACTAGGGAAAAAATGTGTATTTAGAAGGTTCACTGAGAATAACCCCTGTAATCATTTATTCTTCAAGAAAAGTTAAAAAGGACTGTCTAATGTACCCAACAGACATTTCACCTGCATCAGGAGATTGTCCTCTCTTTATGGGCAACTTAAAGCTGAACTTCAGGAATGCTTTGTAAAATGTGCAGGCATACTAAAAGTTAGATCCATCAAAGAAGCATGCCATCTTGTGCATTTATCTCAATAATTTCCATCTGACAGTATTAAGGAGCTCTAGGAGTGTAGCTATCACTAAACACCTGGCGCTCTGAAAAGGAGAGATATTGTCTTTTCATGCACAGCATCTCCGCCTGCCCTTCCCCTCTGCTGTTCATTCTCAGAAGGCTTTGTATTCTGTGAATTATTTCACTTAATACAATGCATTCTGTGATGAGGCAGGAGGAAGAGAGGGGCAGGAGGAAGAGAGGGGCAGGCACAATGGTTGCATGCGACTCTGCAGCCTCAGGAGCTGAGACCAGAGGGGTCCAGTGTCGGAACACCAGTACAGTACTAGATGTTCCTGACAATTATGAAAAAAATGTAAACTGTAAATTAAAGAGATCAGTCCAGGAGGTGGCATGAACCTCCCTTGACTTAACCACTACTAATCCAGCACATTTTAAAAAGTAACTGAATTCCTAGAGTTTAGCTTTCAGATAACTCTACATATACTATATTGCCCAAAGTATTGGGATGTCTGCCTTAACTTGTATGAACCTAGTGTGAACTTTAATGGCATCCGTAGTCTGTAGGTTCAATACTGAGTTGGCCCACGTTTTGCAGCTATAACCACTTCAACTCTTCTGGGTAGGCTGTCCACAAGGTTTAGGAGTGTGTCTATGGGAATGTTTGACCATTCTTCCAGAAGCGCATTTGGCTCACAGTCTCCGCTCTAATTCATACCAAAGGTGTTCTATTGGGTTTGGGCCAGGACTTTATGCAAGCCAGTCAAGTTCCTCCACCCCAAACTCGCTCATCTATGTCATTATGGACCTTGCTTTGTGCACTGGTGCAGTCATGTTGGAACAGGAAGAGGCCATCCCCAAACTGTTCCCACAAAGCATGAAATTGTCCAGAATGTCTTGGTAGGCTGACGCCTTAGGAGTTCCCTTTACTGGAACTAAGTGGCCAAGCCCAACCTCTGAAAAACAACCCTACACCATAATCCACCCTCCACCAAACTTTACACTTGGTACAATGCAGTCAGGCAAGTACCATTCTCCTGGCAACCTCCGAACCCAGAAACGTCCATCGGATTGCTAGACAGAGACGCGTGATTTGTCACTCCAGAGAACACGTCCCCACTGCTCTAGAGTCCAGTGGCGGCTTGCTTTACACCACTGCATCCAATGCTTCGCATTGCTTTGGTAAGGCTTGAATGCAGCTGCTCAGCCATGGAATCCCATTCCATGAACCTCTCTGTGCACCGTTGTGCTTATCTGAAGGCACTATAAAGTTTGGAGGTCTTTAGCTATTGACTCTGCAGACAGTTGGCGACTTCTGTGCACTGTGCGCTTCACATATACTGACCCCGCTCTGTCATTTTACATGGACTACTACTTAGTGGCTGGGTTGCTTTTGTTCCCAGTTGCTTCCACTTTATTACAATACCACTAACAGTTGACCGTGGAATATTTAGTAGCAAGGAAATTTCACAGATGGACTTATTGCACAGGTGGCAACCTATCACAGTACCACGCTTAAATTCACTGAGGTTCTGAGAGTGACACATTCTTTCACAAATGTTTGTAGAAGCAGTCTGCATGCCTAGGTGCTTGATTTTTTATACACCTGTGGCCATGGAGGTGATTGGAACACCTGAATTCAATGTTTTGGAGGGGTGTCCCAATACTTTTGGAAATATAGTATATATTGAACAGGCCACTCAGCCTGCTTGGGCTCAGTTCTGGGTGGAACAATCTTCAACATACTGGGCCTTACACCGATCCTAGAATTGTGCTCTGAATAGAACTTCCTATAGCTTGACTATGCTGGAATCAATAGCAGTATAACAGTGATGCAAGGCACATGGGATCATGTATCCAAACGGTCATGAAATGTAGTTAATCGACCCAATAATTACAGCATATGTTGGTTCTATTTGCTCCTAAATGAGACCAAAACAGGGAGAATCCCAAAAGGAAGGTAACCATTTGACCTAAAAATTAAAAAAAAAAAAAAAAACATATTCTAGGGCTGTGTAACAGGCATATCCCATGTTACCTGATATGCACATGTGTATTGCAGCTCAGTGACTTGCTAGGTAGGACGCAAGTAATGCATCCCCAACACACATCTTACAAAAGAAGCCAGCAGTTGTAGCAACCATATTTCCATTTTCACAGGTTCTTCCCAAAAACACAAAAGGTAACTATAAATGTAATAAAGGTTTCTGGGGACACACAGTTAAAAAGGAACTTTAGACAGAAAATAGGTCCTATGAGAACACTTCATGCTGGCTCCTTTTGCAGGTGTAGCTATGTAAAACATTAAAAATAACTGCCTATACTGTTTAAAATGGAGTAATACACTGTCTGACCCTGCTCTGCACATCATGCTCAGCAGCTCTTTTTTTTCCCAGCACAGTACCAAAGTTGTAGAGTCCGATCTGCTAACAGCCTAAAGATTTACGGCTGCTCAGGGGCTTTGGGCTTCAGCAAAATGGCAGCCTCCAGCAAGAAGAAACGGGAATAATGCTGGAGACAATTTACTGCATACACTAATTTTGGTAGCATGATTATTAATGTGGAATGTATGTGCCTTGCTAAAGAACATTATTTTTTATCAAATTATGGGTAAATGTCCGCTTTACGTGTAGCATCCAGAAGCCAGCCAGTTACAGTTAGTTTGTGAAATTTAGATCACTTTGTTCTTGCTTTATTATCAACTGTTTGCATTAGCTACTAAGCATCTTACACAAACAGTACAAAGTACATTATGCTATACAGAAATATTATATTGCATGTTAAGAGACGAAGAAACAAATCAGTGGGAAAATACTTAAGATAAAGTGCCAATCTCTAATGATTATTTACTTGCTGCAGAGCTTTATGACACTAGTGGTTTATAAATGGATGTAACAAACATCATCCATACAAAGGGTGCACACATCTACAGCAAACAGTTATTAGGATTTGTTTTCTTTAAATCCACAGTGTCCGTTTAGTTCTACACTGCCGCCACAAAACAGTGCAAGGTCTACTAAAAGAGTGTCTAGCCTTGTAAACCCTATCATTTTCAGCCAAGGAAGCTGTCAACTTAGCCTCTGATCTTCAACTGCCGTGGTGCTGAACATGTGATCAGTTATGACACCAGCCATTTGATGGTTTGACAGTTAGGTTGAAAGCCCAAGCAAATATGACTGTTTTATAATCTGTTAAATCAATGTATTTAGTTACGCTTTAAGAATTCCTCAAACTGAAAGGGCACATTTATTTCAGTTGAATACTACTGTATTTCAGGATGTTCATAACATTTTTGAATATGTTCAGTTTACATAAAGTAGCAAAAGTGGGCTGTTCAATGAACTGTAGAAATAATGTAAGGCCAAAAAAAAAAATGCGTCTTAGTGCTGGTTTGGATGTGTTTTGAACCGCGTGCAATCCACATGGTGCCTGTTCACATATGTCCGGTGCACTGACGGTGCGGATTCAGTACGCTTTGAAAAAGAGTCCTATACGATTTCTGAGCAGTGCGGTCTGGTTCAGGTGCAGATTACAGGCAATTGACTTCTATAGGAACCATTTCTAAACCGCACATGTGAACAGGATAAATTCCTGACCTAATCCCGTCCTGAACCTGACATGAACCACTGAAAAACTTCTGCATCAACTAGCTGTAAAACCTGAGCTTCAAACTGCACATGTGTGCATCAGCTCTTATGCAGACCATACATGGGTCAAATTTTGAACGAATTTTCTTTAGAAAATTGGAAATTTTGTGCGTTTTATAATCCGATGGTGCCACCATTGATTTAGAAATTCGACCACCGAAGCCTTTCATTTCACCTCGTGTTGCTACAGAAAAGAAAAGAATTTGCAATTCTTTCCAGGTCACAGCTCATGCTCATTTCTTTTTCAGTTACATTTCTCCCATCATTGATTAGAAATTTGTTTTTCCAAAAATTTCCAATATACCAAATCACTCAAATTCAATATTCGCTCGAAAATCGACCGTTGCTGTGATCCACTAAGGGTGCAAAATTCTAAAGAAAATTCTTAGAAAAGATTTCAACCCATGTATGGCCAGCTTTAGTCTGAATTTTGGTATAATCAGAAAACAGTACTGACAATACACATCTATGTAAGAACAAAGAATACGTGACCTGTAACAATGTGACTAATCTTCAAAATATCAGAGCACATGTTTCATTATCATTGTTCTCCATTCACTCAGCCTTTCTCTAGCAGAATGTCCAATTTGCTCTGCATATCCTAACTCAAATACCATGTGCTTACCATACTCCAGGTCAATATATCCCTGACAAAATGCTCATAAACATGGGGCACTGTAATGAGAATTTAAAAATCAACTGTATACCAAAAACATGCCGTTTATTTTTTTTTTGGCTGGGTAAGGGTTTACATTTTGCGGAGCCCCAAAAATGTGGTCAGGTGGCTCTGTAACCACCAGAAGTAGTTTTACCTCAAAACTTTTCACCATCTCTTAAAATCCATAACACGCTAACGGCTGCAGTAGTAGCTACAAGTTTGGATAAACCCCTTATATACCAGGAAGTTTATAAACATACCTTGGTAGACAAGAGGTAAAGAATATCTAAAGTCATTTTCTTTTTGTATTACAGCAGGGAAGAATTAAAACTCAGTTGTGGTTTTTTTTTTTTTTTTTTTGTGCCATTAGAGAGAATTTCCTCCACTCCGTTTCACAGAAAAACAGTAAGTGGGAGAAACTGTATCATGGTAACCAGTCTCTCATTCCAGTTACAACTCACCATTTTGGATTCCCCCTAATTTTTGGCCCCAATGGACTATGACAAATAGAGAGGGTGAATCTCTCCAGCACAAACAGGAATACAAACATAACAGGGTTTTAACCTTTCCCTCTGAAATCCAAAACAAAAAACAAATGTTGGCTTTAGATACACTTTAGGTTCCTCTCATATCCTTTCTTAGAGATGCATTTCACTTGGATGGGGCATGAGGCAAAAACTCAACAAGGGGACGGCAATAACACACTATTTAGTAAGGTAGGTGTGACAAATATCCCTGGGACAGGAAGCCAGGAGAAATCTCTTTAGTGTGGCTTCAGACAGCAATAAAAATCCAACAAAGGTTCTAAAAGTAAAAATATATATATATATATATAAATAAATGTAGAGACATGTAGATATAGTTAACAGTATGCAGCATCTATACGCACTAACATACTACATTACATTTTAGAGACAGGAAGGGGTTCAACTGCTTTTACAATTTTGCACAACAATTGTCTCTCATTTCATCAATATGTATGTGCCTTAAAAATGTTATGTTACAGTTCTATTTCCTATGGGACAAACTACGTGTACTATTTTGTCCTGTTTTACTAAGTGTTTACTAACCCAAGTTATGAGTACTGACCTGCTCCCAACGAAAATGCACATTGCAGGGAAAAAAAAAAAACATATGCTTTGTCTTCCTTTAAGGAGCCTGTAACACTGCAAAGCAGCATGCTTACATAGTAAAATACACAGACCACATAGTAAAAGAGCACAGTTAACCCTTTGATTGCCCAAGATATTAACCCCTTCCTGCTGTGTCATTAGTACAGTGTCAGTGCTTTTTATTAGCACTGATCACTGTATTAGTGTCACTGGGGATGCCAGTGTCAGCCAGTTCTCCCCCAGTGTCAGAATGCCCACCGCAGTCCTGCTATAAGTTGCTGATCGCTGCCATTACTAGTACAAAAAATTTTTTTAAAAAAAGAAACTTCCAGTATATATACCGCCATTAGTAAATGCTATAATTTTCACATAAACCAATTAATTTACACGTATTGGGATTTTCTTTTATCAAAGACATGTAGCGGAATACATTTTGGCCTAAATTTATGACAAAATTAGAATTTTACATTTTTTTACTGGAAATGTTTATAACAAAAAGTCAAAAATATATATTTTTTCAAAAACTGCTGCTTTTATTGTTTATGGCGCAAAAAAAATAATCGCAAATGCGATCAAATACCACTGAGAGAAAGCTTCATATGTGGGGGAAAAAAAAGGACATAAATTTCATTTGGGTGCAGTGTTGCATAACCGTGCAATAGTCAGTTACTGTAACGCAGCGCCGTATCGCAAAAAATGGCCTGGTCGGGGGGGGGGGGGGGGTGTAAATCCTCTGGAAGGCAAGTGGTTAATGCGTTCTATATAATCTGCATGGAGGACTATGACAGGGCTACATAGTAACATAGGAATGATCAATTGATGCCATTACAGAACATGTGGTTCAGACTCATGCCAGGAACAAAGAGGCAGCAGTTTAGAAACAAGGATGTAAACATACCATTATACAGGAATGAAAAGGGCACAAAGTTTACTATATGCAAGCAATCCACTCTATACATATTACAGAATCGGGTATCAGGACGACCTAGCCGTTCTCCCAATTTCCCACTACCGAGGAAACGAGCCCCCCTAACAGTACACAAGATAACACCACCATTGCAAATCATCTACTAGGACGGCTGCCAAGCGCTGACGCCGCGCACGGCAGTCGGGAATTGTAGTTCCGGCCCGCACACCGGCGATGCAAACAACAGCGATTCCGA